CTTAATACACTCTGGCTCTGGGGTCCAGACTTGTGTTTGGTGAAATATTGGGTACGTTATTAATACTGCAAGTAGGTATTGCAACACTATTTTTTAATACAAGGAAATGAATATGGAGATAATCATACGTTATCGGTGATAACGTGCAGCGACAAGTATACATGTATACACACATATTGTCAGTGGTTGAATAAAAATAACAATCATTATACGCACTAGCCCAAATAGCACAGAAACGTCATATGTACGTCCTATGTACGTACGTTCCGGACGTTCTGTACATTCAGAGGATGCCCTGAAAAGGTCCATATGTCCCCGTTAGGTCCTCGTTAAGATCTTTAAATGTCCTAAGAAGGTCCTATTTACAAAGTGGAACATCTTGAGGACGTCCTGTGTCAACATTCTCAGAAAGTTTCTTGAATGTGTAAAAGTAACATTCTCTGTAGTTTTTGGGAACGTTTAAAGAGTTTTTAAAAACGCTATGGTAATGTCTTAAAAGGCGTATAAGAAACGTTTCCCATATGTTTAAAACTACGGTTAGATTTCATTCTGTGCAATGTAATAGAAGTTAGGTTAGGTTGGTTTGTGTTTAATAAATAAAAGATTAATTTTCCTGCGATTTCCGCACTTAGTAGAAATTAGATCAAGTTAGTTCCTGTTAATAAATAGAAGATTAAATTTCCTATTAGGAAGTATAATGAAAATATATGTCTGGAGGTTATAATCTCTGTGTACATTGTGTTTATTTTTATTTTCAAAGCAAAATACTGATTGTGTGTAGGTTAGAGACTGTTAAAGAAAGTAAATCACTGATTCAAAGCAAAATACTGATACTGTGTTAGTTAGGGACAGTTTAAAAAAACCACTTACTCAAAGCAAAGTATTGATTCTGTGTAGGTCAGAGACAGTTTAAGAAAAAAAATATTTTATCAATTTTTCTGAAGTTTCCAGACAAAACCGCTAGTGTCGTTATACTTCCCTATTGATTCTCTAAAGAATGACACCTTGCGCATGGGGTTCCATCACCTTGCACGAAATGACATTGAGCCAAAATTACTAAACGACACTATCCGAAATTTAATTCCTGCCCAGATAACACATGACGGGCAATTACGCCTTGGAGACGGCTTAAAGACGCCTTAGACCTAAAATAGTCGTAAAATGGACATCCTCAAGGCATCATATGCAATCTGGGGACGAATATCCGTAAGACTTAAGAAACGGACAGTCCTAGAACATGCGAAATTTAAATCTTGAGAACATCCGTAGGGCTTCCGAGACGGACGTTTCTAGAATATCTCCAATTTAAGTCGTAAGAACATTCGGAAACGGATATTCCCAGAATATCCGAAATTTAAGTCTTCAGAACATCCATAGGTCTTTCGGGACGGACGTTTCTAGAACATTCGAGATTCAAATCTTACGAACATGTTAGGGATGTCCAAAGTGGATGTAGGACATTGGGATATAAACTGGACATGAAACGGACGTCCGTTGGATGTACGGTGCTATCTGAGTCCCGTCAGACCATCACGACTTATCATTTAATCCTCGATGTTCGAAGATTACCATTAATAAACGTGAGATTAGATCGATCCAACCATTACCCTAAAATGTTTCACTCTTCCAGGCCGGCCACCACGATTTGTCATTAGAAATTCGCGGGACAGGTGTGATAGCAACCCTGATCAGGAGCGCAGTCCGCGGCTTCAACGTGAAGAAGCACATAAAAACCGTCACCTCGAACAGCGCTTGCCTCCCAAGACCGACGAAGCTGAATGGTTACATATTCTTCAAGATCTACGGCACGTTCTTCTTAATTTTCTTACTGATCATAGGATCCATCTACACGGAGAGGATGCGTCGAGGTATTTGTTCGTTTTTTTACCGGAAACGAGAAAAACGGAGGACACTGTACTTATACAACGAGAGCCTAAGACGCAGAATTGGTTTCGCGAGATTCATGAAGGCGAGGGTGAAACGACTGGTTAGGAAACGTCACCTGGAGTATGAGGTTGATTTCTGGATGACTATGAGACAGAAATGGCCGACCCAGTTAGGCTGGTTGAGATTCTTCGCCTGCGCTAGAGAGAGGTGTCTGATTTGCGGGGAGGTGGAGCCTAGAAAAGGGCCAAAGTACCGACAGTGCACCACACCCGGTTGTCCATTCGTACATTGCGCTGAATGCTGGAAGGATGTAGGGAAGATTTGTTACGCATGCGCTGAATGGTCGGAAACTGATTCCGAAGAATATGACACACAGTACACCGAGTTTTAATTCACAAGGCTTGAAATAGTTCTGAAGATAATTGTTTCAAACTGTTATATAAAGGTTCCGATTGAAACAATTATGAAGAATCTTTATTCTGAATATGTAACTTTCATGAAGAACAGGCAATATCAGTTTTAGTTACGGGTCTTATATCAACTCCCATATCAGTTCTATAACTGTTTTTTTTAGGTTTCATGTTAGTTACCAAATGGTTATAGAACCGATTCTCCTAACGATTGTACGGAATTTTGCAGTAAATGAAATTACAACATATTACGCTTATAGATTACTGTATAGGGGAGACCGGGGCAAAGTGGCCCGAAAAAAGTTTAAAGTAGAATAAAATTTTTTCTTTTCAATAAAAATGTGTACGGATAATTTTATAATATAATTTAAACATTACTATTGACAAATTACGAGTAGCAATGCTTCAGACAAATTTGAAGTATTTTAAAACTCAACTTGAAAACAAAAAACCAAAAGACTCACTTTACCCCATGTATGGGGTAAAGTAAGCTAAAATGAACTATTAGTTTCAACCTACCGGCGTCCTCTCATTTTTGTCTCAAATAATTTGACAACGTCACGCCTATACTTGTTTCTTATATATAATGTTTAACTTTAACTATTTTTACGGAAGGAAAGAAGGTACGGAAATCTACGTGGCCGATAGACCGCAGAAATAAGTGTGACACAAAATAGAAACTTTGCAGGAGTCTCCCAGACTCCACGACACAGGTTAAGCCGCGTACCCATCTGCGCATGCGGGCCGCATGAGCACCTAAATGTAGTACCTTCTCCGGAAGTATCAAGTACGCCATTTGCTGTTTCCGTGACATTTTTCCTCCTATGGAAATATGTATAGTCTGTTTTCTTCCATCTTCAAAACTGTATAACTAAGAGGAGAAACTACTAACTGCAACGAATTGACTCTGAAGAGACACGTAAAAATATAATCTTTTATGTAAAATAATGTATGCGAACTTTACGTGTTTTTGTCGAATTTCATTGGTTACAAGGTTTTCAAACACTACCTATCGCAAATCTGCACGTACTTTCCGGACAATCGAATAGTATTATTAAAAATGAAGTTAATAGAGGAAATATTCCTGGAATTTAGAATTGATTCCATGAATTTGTAAATGTATCATATCGCACTTTCAGATTGATATACGTTATACTTACCTATGACCAACGGAAATAATTTCAAGTACTAAATGTTGTTTAGAAGTAAATATTTATGTTATTAAAAAATATTGAATTAATAATAATTAAAGAGATTAAAGAGTTTATAGTATAGATGTTAACCAGGGAAAGAAATTAAAGAAACGAATATTTATTATAAGGAAACTCCCTAAGAATTATGTGCGTCAAAATGATAATCCAAATACTTTAATTTATATTATTGACATAATTAATAAAAATGAAAAATGTAGGTACTACGTCCTATTTCATATTTAATATTTTCACAAATTGAATCCAATATGATGAGAACATTTAAATAAAAAAGAAATTTTGAATTATTTCTAGCTAACAAGAAAGTACATCATCAAATATAAATAATCGTAGTAGATCGCAGGTATTGCACGCTATAATTTATCTACAAATTATTCCCAAGCATTGTGGGTCAGAAATAAATGCAAATGTACATTTTTAAAGGATATACTTAGAAAAATGTACAAGTAACATGGCAGGGATAGAACATGCATGTGCAGTAGGAAACGTAATCCCAGAACAGGAAATTTGATTCTTTAGAAATTGAATTCCGCGCCATTTATGGCCACGAGAACATTTCTATACGTCCCCCGGTGTCGTTCGAAGCTTTATCGATATACCATATAATTATCGTAGCATCAGTTTCACGCCTTGAAAGTCTGATGACATCGGTCGTGGGGCTGTCTAGGAGAATTTTTAGGAAAACCACGATATCATCGGAGATGGCGAGACCACCTCTACGTATAAATCTCACGTAGTAAAGACGACAAGAAGTCTCAGATTTCACGAGGAAGGAACGAGAACTTAAAGCCCCGTACTTGCCGTGTTGAATTTACGAAGCCTGAAACGCCTGAACGGAATACGAATTAATGTGGAGGAAGGATCATTTATAGCATTACAATGTCTCATCGATTCTAGGGAACCTCGCGATCCTATTATGTGTCACATGTCTCGACAAAGGCGACTTCCTATCCAGGAAGTATTAAGTCTTCGTCATATGTGTATATATAAACTGTAGATGTTATGCATTTATAACGGGCCATTTTTAGAAAAGGGACACAACAAAATTATTTTAATAAATGATGAGTTGCAGCAAATGGAATTAACCCTTACGTACTATTCAAAAAATGACTGTATTACTATTCCTTGAATTAACCTTGGTTTAAGCTAAGAATCGAATTAAGGAAAAAATACTTGCATATCGCTTGATACTATCTGTGAACTACTTATGTCAAATTAATTTACAAGTTTTTCTTACGAAGAATATAATTAAAAATTAAAATCTGAGTTTGGTTCAAATTGACACGTTTTTGTTCCGAATTAGACGTAACTTTACACCTGATAATACACAATAGATATGTGACACTCAAAAAGTAAAAAATGAATGAAATAATTCGGATAACTTAGTAGTTTATAAGTTTTATAAAAAATATTATATAATATTTAAAAAGAAAACAACTAATGCAACGTGTATAATTGTATGCATTTGGCTAATATTTTAAATGAAACTTAATGTTCAATGTTTCTGCGCGTAAAAAGTCGTGCAAATAGATATCTATATGTGATCGAAGTTTTGATTGGATAATTTCAATTTTTGAATAATTGTGTTTGTAGAAACTTGTGTTCTCAAAAATTGATATACAATAATATTAGAATACCTATTTCGACTACAAAAGATATACATAAATTAGGTATGAAAAATCAGATAACAATTTCAATGTTTGTTTCTTTTTTTTATGAAATTTCTGGTCGTTATTAATTACTCTTTGTTTTGAGGCATGATTGTTTATGTCTATTTCACGATATTCTAGGAAAAACTGCTATTATATCGTGAATCGACTAGAATACTACATGAGATTTCGCAAATTTGTTAAATTCTATTCACGTTTTAGCGCTTGCAGATGAAACATGAGCTCTTTCTGAAGGACAAATTATTATACAGGAACTGAATATTTTATTGTTAGTTTGTAAAGATTTCATTTAGTATTTTCGTATGTTGTAATAATATGTGAATAGACATAATAAAGAAAATTTATGTTTATTACTGACGCTTCTTGTAAATGTTATGAATTTGCATAAGCATCTACCGATTTAATTATAATAAACAACTTGTTTGTGAAGTTCTATCACAGAGAACCTATTTTTTGTACAAAACAATTAATATTATCGAGTATTGTTTATAATTGGATCACATTCTAACAATGTAGTTTAAAAAAAACGAACATTAAATGAATATTTAGCTTTACAAATGCGTAATGTACACAGTAATTGTAACTGATTATTTATATTTCCTTAATTGTTCAACAAATCAGATGTTATACGTTGTACGCATAATTGTATGGTAATAACATGAAGGCAAAATATTGGTCTTTCGATGTATACGTAAGTGAAGACTCATATTCTTGACTTTTGTGGCATTAAGTATTGCCGACTACGGATGACAGCAGCAAGGATTATTTCAATTACTGGCCAATTTTGTTGAAATTTTCCTAACGTACACAGGAAGTGAGACTCCTTCCTTACGTTGTACATTCAATCACCATTAAATTCCTTATTTCTTTCATCGTATAATTTCATTAGTTTATTCTAGACTTCAGAGGAAAATTCAATCACTTCATATATTCTAATTGAGAATTTTGTAGCAAAAAAATTCATACTACAGATATTCCGTTTTTAATATGTTTTGCCAGTTCGGAAATTTATGAAACAAACATAAGTACACTAACGCTACTACTACCAAAGCTGTCAGAGTACATTGTAGTTCTTTCTAAACAGTGCTTGAATTTATAACACTGAATTTTTCGAGTTTCCCCCATCTTTTACTACAATAATAGATAAATCAATAAATTCATCAATTTCTTAATCTGTACTTTTTTTAAAAATCTATCATTTTTGTAGCTTTGATAGATACATATTAATGATTAGTAGCTCTATTATTAATGAATAATTAAGCTAGAAGCAAAATGTTCTTTATAAATGAAAATGTTTTTGATATTAAATAATACTTTAAGAAACAATTGTTAAGTACATCTCAAAGATCAAAACTACATATGTACGTACATAAAAAGATTATTCATCTCTCTAATGATGTCTTCACGTATAAGAAAATGATCTCAGAGCTGCACTCATTTTTTCTATCAAATTATGCAATGACTACAATTTTCTTCGAATACGATAGGTAATTGGTCGTGATTTCGTGTAACAAAGTACCATATGCAAGGTATATAAAACGTTCCTCGAAACGAGCTTGACGGTCAGTGATCGAGAAAAAACCAGCTACGAATCTTAGCAGCAAAATGAAGAGCTTTTGCGTTGTTCTCGTATTTTCGATTTGTTTTCTGCTGGCAACAACCTTTGCCGAGGAGAAATACACGACGAAATATGACAATATCGATATCGACACGGTAATTAACAGTGAGAGACTTCTGAATGGTTATGTAAATTGCCTGTTGGATCACGGAGCTTGCACTCCCGACGCCGCTGAACTGAAAAGTGAGTATTAACACCAAAATGGTAGCGACAAGTGAGAAACAAATCAAATTTACCAGTTTATACGGACAAACAAGTAACTCGTTGTTAGTAATGAAAGTTTAGAAAGTATTTTATACGTCGTTAATTAAATATGGATAAAAATATTGATTCCATATTGCTGTCCAAAGTGTTAAGTAGAATGCGAATGTTTATGGAAATTCACATTTTTAGGGGCAAGGTTTCTAAAATAAGAATCAAGAAGAAATTTATTTTCTGTATTCAGGGTTTTATTAAACTCAAACATATCTGAAAATTTCATGAAACTGTATTGTACTATTTATTTTATTTTTTCTGTATATTCGCATAAAATAGTATAAGTGCATAAAAACTGCAACGTATCATTTACCTGATTTTGTTTGCTACCTATCATTAAAATGATTCATTCGTTGTCTCTACAGTCATTTAAGAGGACGCGAAAAATAATACTATAAGAAAGTGTTACTTGCAACTATCAGGTTTACATTATACATTTAGAAAAATGTAGCAAAACAATGTACTTAATAACAAAGTAATTATACTTAATAACCAGCCGCCGATTTATTCCAGTGAATCATTTGTATTTACGCTGACCATGAGTTTTACTATTAAGTTCAATCAATTCCTTTATACATACGCAGTTGTTGCATTTGCTATTTGAATGGATAAATATTGTGATAAAACTTATAAAATTAATAACTACTTAACAAAAATAGCATATAGTGTCAATGGACACCCAGAAAATACTGCTAAAGAACTATAGTTTTCTGATTTTGTTGTGAATACAGAGGATTAAAAGAATTATTTACACATTCAGGTCTTCGGTAAATTTATTGATCGTGTCACGTACGAAGACACTCTCGTGATCTCTTAACCCTATCGAGAGTTGGAATGCACCCGGCTAGATTACGTAGTTACCCACGGGGTGTTATGGGGTGGTCAGATTTTCTTAGAAAACTGATTCTGTTGGAAGAACAGGCGTGTCCCCCACTACTTTTAGACTCGAATGTTGTTGGGGTACATAAAGGAGCGCGTACAGCTCCTTCGCGAGTCATACTCATACCAGAAGTCTAGTTAGTGAGATCGAGTATTAAAGTCCCTTTCGAGCATTTTTAAAAAGAAGCTATACTCTGCACAACGCTGGTATTAGTTTCCGCGACTGTCGCTTACATTAACATTTGTAAAACCTTTACTTACTTGAATTACTTTATATATATATATATAGGGTGTAGCAAAAGTGTTGTAGGTCTCCGAAATGGGTGACTTGTTTTAAATCACCTCACGAGTGACTAAAAAAAACTCTAGAATATCTAAATTCCCAGCTAGAAACGAATCCACAAAGGCATACTTTTACTGCTCGAAGTGTACCGAATTCCTAAAATTACGAGGCCTATAGTAACAATTCTAGTGGGTCCCTGAGATAAAATAGGCTTAGCTTCGTCCACGAAAATCTATCCTAGCGGTTTCTTGTGATGAAATAGGCACAAGTTCGTCCACCACTACCAACCCCCTAATGGCTCTCTGAGATGAAATACCTCAGGTTCGTCTACATAAACTCAAATCCAAACTCGCCATTCCTCGAATATACAATATATACAATATAATATATTCAATATAAGTTTAAGACTTTCTGACGCATTTACAATATAATCTAGGAATTATATCTATTACAGTTTGAAAAACTTTTTTCATCTACCGTATGTACAACTTTGATAATAATTATTAGGACATCTGCTATCACGACAGAAAAAATGGCATTTCATATAGCTTAGATGTTTTGCACTACTTTTAGAACTTTGATGAAAATTCTTCCTTTATGGACATTCTGAAAATAATATATATCCAGTGGCATCAACAATTTTCTAACGGTTCTGCAAATTTATTTCAGGCTTGATAAGTACCCAAATATTTATGCGCAAGACTGTACCCAATAATCGATCTGCATTCATTAGATTGTAATGCAGTACGAAAACAATCTCCTTGTCTCCTTGTCCACTTGTGTATGCACATCGTGTAAGCAGATGAACAACGTGTCAAGATTTATAGTTTCATTTCACGGTCCTCGGAAAATCCGCGTTACTTGTATCATGACCTAGTACTAAACGTCCGCGGGTGAGCGCGTGTGCGAGCGCGTATATGCATATTCCACAGCTGTTCTTACGCGGGATGCCGTCCGTTTACGGTCGACCGCAATTTTATGAGCGTCGTTACTATTCCCGGAGGACAAGGTCGCGCATTCAATCAGTTACGCGTCCTTTGCCATCTGGAAAAAATGCTGCGTGATATAATTACCCGAGCGGAGAATGTCTTTCTTCAGTATGCGATGTGTTCGAGGGATACTCCGTTCAAAAAGTTAGTCCCGAAGTAGTAACTATGTAGTTCTCTAGATACAATCCATCTATAGTGTATCTATACCCATATCGCACCGTACATCCAACGGACGTCCGTTTCATGTCCAGTTTAAGTATATCCAAATGTCCTACGTTCATTGTGGACATCTCTAGGATGTTCATAAGACTTAAATTTCGGATGTTCTAGAAACGTCTGTCCCGAAAGTCGTACGTATGTTCTCAAGACTTACATTTCGGATGTTCTGGAAACGTTCGTCTCGGAAGTCCTACGGATGTTCTCAAAACTTAAATTTCGCATGTTTTAGAACTGTCTGTTTCTTAAGTTTTACGAATGTTCGCAGGATTTAAATTTTGAATGGTTTCGTTTAGTAATTTTAATAGTGATGGAACCCCATGAGCACGGTGTCATTCTTTAGAGTAGTTTAGCGAATTAATAGAGGTATAACGACACTAGTGGCTTTTTGCGGATTCCTCAGAAAATTTGAAAAATATTTTTTTTCTTAAATTGTCTTTAATCGACACAGAATTAGTACTTTGCTTTGAATAAGTGGTTTTTTAAAACTGTCTCTTACTGTCGAAAATAAAAATAAACACAACGTACACACAGACCATAACCCCCAGACATATATTTTCATTATAATTCTTTATAAGAAATTCAACCTTTTATTTATTAACAGGAACTAACTTGATTTAATTTCTACTAAGTGCGGAAATCGCAAGGAAAGTTAATCTTTTATTTATTAAACACAAACCAACCTAACCTAACTTCTATTACATTGCACAGAATGAAATCTAACCGTAGTTTTAAACATATGGGAAACGTTTCTTATACGCCTTTTAAGACATTACCATAGCGTTTTTAAAAACTCTTTAAACGTTCCCAAAAAGTACAGAGAATGTTACTTTTATATATTCGGAAAACGTTATAAGAATGTTGACACAGGACGTCCTCAGGACGTTCCACTTTGTAAATTGGACTGTGGGCGAGGACGTAGGGGGAATGTGGACCGTCAATGATTTGTTAGCCCGCTATTAAACCTGTTGAAACAATAAAAAATTGTTTTGATACTAGTTTCGTATAATTCGTGAGTGAAAGTTATAATAACATATTAATTACATAAACATTCGCAGTATAGTAATAATATAAGCAGACGCAAATATATGTGATATGTTTATTATTATTATAAACTAAAAGTTTTGAGTTTTGATTATTTAAATCAAAATTACAGAAAATCTGCCCGATGCGCTGGAACACGATTGCTCAGCCTGTAGCGCGAAGCAGAAGGAAGTCGCGAATAAGGTCTCTCAATATCTAATCGATCATAGGAGAGAAGATTGGAGTCTTCTCGAAGCAAAGTATGATCCGACTGGAGCTTACAGGCAGCAGTACCTTCAAACTCAAAATAAAGAAAGGGCAATAGATTAATTTGCTTTTCGATTTCAGTAATTACATATGACTGTTTGTTTTATGTAACATCATAATTTCTTTTATAATGTTTACGTACACTTGATACAAACTTAAAATTTTCCACGGATATACAAATAAAAGGATTAAGTAAATTTTAGCGCATAAAAAGAAAACAACGATTGTGAGAAAGCAAATGTACGTTAATAAATAACCTGAGTTACTTAAAATTATCACATGTATTCATTAAAAAGTCTATGGTCCAACAACGATTTACTAAAAATTAAAAAACAAATGACAGATATTTATTTCAAGGTCAAAGTATTGTTTAGCCAGAATTCGATTAAAAGGTACCGTTCCTCGGGTGGTCAAGAAATAGTAATTAATAAGGCCCTAATCAGCCCATGATTTACGAGTCTTCAAGGTAATTTATCAATTCTGAACAGAACCAACATTTAATTCATCCTTACGAATGGAGATTCGAGAACCTCGAGAATCCTCGATTATCTTTTAGACTCGATTGTTCACAGTAAAGCAGACGTAAGAATGCACCATAGATGGACAAATGCACTGCAGGACAAATATGGAAGAAGGTGCAATTTTGTTGCACACTTTATCGAATTACTTGCCACGGGCAGAGATAACTTCACGTGACATTAAAATCAACTAATAATCACATCAAACTGAGTACCGCATACGGTAATTTACAATCAATTGCACGCACACCGTGGTAATAATAGCAATCAATAAAATTACACACGCCATTTTCTTTACTTTGTGATTGATATCAGGCGAGAGATGAGGGACAAGTCTTTCTTACTTGTGATATTTTATTTTATGATCAAGGCTGGATTATAATAGTGTTACAAATGAAGAGTTAAACCAGAGCATTTTAATGTCAGTTTTTTCAGTGAAAATAGCTTTTTAATAAAATTAAAGATTCAGGTCATGGTTTTTAATCAAAATTTTAGAAATAATTATTGAATAGTTATTTTTCAAAACCTGTTATTACATTTTTGTAATAGTTAATTGTTTGATATTAATGTTTTTATTTAATGTGACAAAGAAGATTAAATTATTTACAGATATATTATAAATAAGCGACAAATTTGTAAGAATATCGCAATGTGAGAGAATACATGAAATTCATAAATCCATTTAGTTAATTAATCCATGGGCTACCTAGAAATATTATTTTTAATATATATTCCATTCAACTCGTTCACTCACTCATTCATATACATATATTCTTTTCATATGTATTGAACTAATTGATTTCTAACATAGATGCAACATTTAGTTTACAGGTAATATAGTTAAGTAATTTGTGTTGGATCTCGTATGTCACGTACATTGTAAATTTCTAAATCTATACCCATTTGAATAAGAACACATACAATTATGATATTTATTATTAATACTATTTTTTTTAAATAGAAACTTTTTTTTATTCCAAATTTGTTCAGATACATACATCAAATAAGTTCATATGTACTTCATCGAAATTGGTGAGTTCTGAATGCAGATTGCAGATTCTTCCTTACCGATAACTCTACTCCAGCTACCTTGCCTTGTCAACAGATCACGCTTCGTAATAACATCTGAAAATTATTATTATGTATGTATAGATTGCGGATATTAATACAAAGTCACAATTTCAGACTTTAATTTTTTAAAGAAAACAAGAAATTTATTTCCTATACAAATAATTTTATTATAGTACATATATGGAAATTATTAAACTTTATTGAAGTCTTTATTTTACTGCGTTTTGCAAGTTAAGGAGCATTAAACGTCTATAAATTGGTATACATTAATTCACAACGAATGGAATCAAATAGAATTTTTTATACCCTATCCCATCACGTTTCATGACATTGGCAAAAAATCGCAAAACACTTAACACTCGTGTACTACTTGTTTCGGGACAACTAGATTTGGAAGCAAAGTTATTCTTAATAATGTTTTTCAACACAAAAATTCGTAAATTAATTTGACATGACTGAATATTACAATCTAGTGATAGGTGAACACAATTCCTTGATTCGATTTCGACTTTGGGCCAATTTAATTAAAAACACAGTACATATTTTAATAGCTTTCTAAACTTTGCACGATAAATAGGTTTCGAGATAACCGTTCAGAAAAATCGTACGAACTGTATAAGATATAATAATATGCTATGTAAATTAGAAAACCGAGGATCTTTGTACGTACTTAATTTTTCTGTAGGTATTATTTTATGACAACAAAACTTAACCAAAAATCTATTCTTTGTCTTCTGTATTTTGAGAGATTATAAATAAATGAAAATCCAACTAAATTTTCATTAACGTATGTGTCATTTCGAAATTTTGAACTGAACATCGACACACATGCTATAAACAAATAAAATGTCTAGTCCTCTAATTCAATTAACGCATTAAAGTTCTAAGCCGTGAAGTAAGGCGATTTTTACACATATAATTATTTATTATTTATAAAAGCGTATACGAAAGAATATAAGGGTGGCCCAAAAGTCACTAGACTATTTAAAAATAGAATAACTCTTTTATGTATTAAAAATGCACATTTATGTTTTTATAAACAATAAATATTCTTCTTGGAAATTAGTTTTAATTAGTTTTGTAGGTTGTAGATTATGTCCTTCAAATGGCCACCATTTTGTTCTTAACAGTAGCGGGCTCTTTCTAAAAAGTTATAATATTTTAAAATGGTGTGGGTTAGGTCACTTTTGGGCCACCTTGTATAAAAAGGTTATAAAAAAATCTTGCATCGGTCCTTTTTGTATAATAAAATGTGTTTATGGCAATTTTTTCATAAGAAGCCTAAATAAAAAAATTTATATACTATTTTGCCGAAATATAAAAAATGCATTATAATACTAGACACCGTGATGGAAGCCTACTACATGAGAAAGATACACCAACAAATTTTCATGATTTAAGAAATCTATGATAATGCTATAAATACTTCAATTTTCTTTAAATTTCAAAACGTCGTAGGATCTAAGTGGTAGAAGAAATAGTGACGGAAAAAATATTAAGCAAATCTTTGAAATACTCTTTCATAACTACAACATGAAAAACAGAATTCAATAATTTAAATTCACTGAAAAAAGAAATTCCAAATGAAATGTTGCGTTAACGCAACATCTGGTCCTAATGGGTTGAATGACAGCAAATTGCCTGTACACTCCAGAAAAAGTTATTCTATTGCGTTCGTCTATTTGTCCCTCTAGCGACAGGATCAGTAATCCGAAGGTGCTTCCTGTTGCTACCGTTCCACCGGCTAAACTTCAGCCGGTCGTGAAGAGCCGAGGAGACGCTGTATTATAATCTTGTACTACATTTTGCGGTTTAAAGTTACCTAAAATATCCTGTATCCGGACATTCGGGGAAGCTGTAAAGCCCCGTGGTCCACGTGGGTGGTCAGATCTTCTAGGGCAATCCTTCGCCGGTTTCCTAGAAGTCCGTGATTTCCGAAGAGGGTAAAACCAAAAACGAAAAGAAAGAAAAAGAAAGAGGCGACTCGAGGATTAGGACGCGGAACCGGCGCGTGACCAGGAACAAAGAGGGCAGTGTAGTACTCGTTCGAAATTACGTTACAGCAGCAGAAGTTTTTGGGTGGCGAAGATCAGCGGTGTAAAACGTTAAGCCTCGTGTTCACTGAAGCAACAACAAAAAATTACTTGTTGATGTTCCATATTTTTTGAAAAAGTCGCCACATGTCGAATGTTTCTCGAAATTTCTTCGCTGTTCTGTGGCTAGTAACGAACATAACCTTGAAACCGAAACAAAACCCAATTGTTCCTCAGATTACGTTGCTTCAGTAATATAAGTTTGCGTTTGTTGGAAATATTTTGGTATATGCAGCAATAAGGGACGACGGAAAAGTAAATATGTACCCCGTTGTTGCTTCAGTGCAGACATAGCTTTAATGGCAGCGCGCACGCACGACAGCTTCCGAATATAAGCAAGAAAACGCATTTTCGGGTGAAAGCGGCGACATTTATGAACTCCCACGGAGAGTTTATAGCCGGCGTCGTTCTTTCCGACGCACGATACCTGAATTCCACATAGATAGACCCGTCACCGTGAAACGTCCTCGCGATAATAAAAAGGATTATGGGCAGACCGAAGCCGGACTCCGCTGTGAAACTATTAAGCCGATGTAAATCATCCGAAAGGTCATCTAATCCGTAATCGCCCCCCTCCGAATCATAAAAGTTTATTAAGTAACTGTATAGAGTGCAGCCAGAAAGTATCCGAGCATTCGATGGGTAACATTATTGAAAATGATATTTGTGCGCGACAGGAACACGATATTCGGACGTTAGATATGAATTAAAAAACTTTGGGAGGCAATAATGTTCTTGGATCACACCACACGGAGTTGTCGAGCTTAGTTATATTGACAACAAATTTTTTTTAAGTAAAATAAGTAAAAATAGTCTTCAGTGTGACTTCAGTGATAATCTTTAAGGTAACTTACCTATAACTAGTTTGAAGATCTTTCTACCATGTCACATGTGTTTGGAGTAATTTGCAAAATCAGATGTTAAACTGAAATGAATTTCTTTTAAGAATTTTCAGAGAATAAAAATGACAGATTATTAAGTTTTTGTTGAAGATATAATATTATCTTAAAATATTATTGTAATATTTTATTGTAGATGGATTAAATTTGTAATCTTTTTATAGACATACATCAGAAAAGGTTTTGCACGACGACTATATATACATTCTGGAAATGTAATTTTGATGGATATATTTTTCCGTATTAACAAAAGCAAATTAATTTGAATTTACCACGAGAGACATTAAACAATCAGATGGATTACTCACGAAAGACAATTCTATTGCATACGATTTTAAATGGCATAATCATACGTGAAAAACTATTTTTAATATGTGTATAATGTACGAATATGTCAAACTTTGTAAATGATTTAAATTTTCATCGAATACTAATGCTATATTAGGAGGAAAGTGATCCAACAAATAAGTAATAATTGTCAA